CTACAGTACATTGTTGTTTACTGTGATTATCTACAGTGCATTGTTGGTTACTGTGATCTTTTACAGTACATTGTTGGTTACTGTGAATATATACAGTGCATTGTTGGTTACTGTGAATATCTACAGTACATTGTTGCTTACTGTGATCTTGTACAGTACATTGTTGGTTACTGTGAATATCTACAGTGCATAGTTGGTTACTGTGATCTTTTACAGTACAGTGTTGGTTACTGTGAATATCTACAGTACATTGTTGTTTACTGTGAATATCTACAGTGCATTGTTGGTTACTGTGATTATCTACAGTGCATAGTTGGTTACTGTGATATTTTACAGTACATTGTTGGTTACTGTGAATATCTACAGTACATTGTTGGTTATTGTGATCTTTTACAATACATTGTTGGTTACTGTGAATATCTGCAGTACATTGTTGTTTACTGTGAATATCTACAGTGCATTGTTGGTTACTGTGATTATCTACAGTGCATAGTTGGTTACTGTGATATTTTACAGTACATTGTTGGTTACTGTGAATATCTACAGTACATTGTTGGTTATTGTGATATTTTACAGTACATTGTTGGTTACTGTGATTATCTACAGTACATTGTTGGTTACCGTGATCTTTTACAGTACATTGTTGGTTACTGTGAATATCTACAGTGCATTGTTGGTTACTGTGAATATCTACAGTGCATTGTTGTTTATTGTGATTATCTACAGTGCATTGTTGGTTACTGTGAATACATACAGTACATTGTTGGTTACTGTGATTATCTACAGTGCATTGTTGTTTACTGTGAATATCTACAGTACATTGTTGGTTACTGTGATTATCTGCAGTACGTTGTTGGTTACTGTGAATATCTACAGTACATTGTTGCTTACTGTGATTATCTGCAGTACATTGTTGGTTACTGTGAATATCTACAGTACATTGTTGGTTACTGTGATTATCTACATTGCATTGTTGGTTACTGTGATTATCTGCAGTACGTTGTTGGTTACTGTGAATATATACAGTGCATTGTTGGTTACTGTGATTATCTACAGTGCATTGTTGGTTACTGTGATTATCTGCAGTACATTGTTGGTTACTGTGAATATCTACAGTACATTGTTGCTTACTGTGATTATCTGCAGTACATTGTTGGTTACTGTGAATATCTACTGTACATTGTTGGTTACTGTGATTGTATACAGTACATTGTTGGTTACTGTGATTTTATAGAATTGGGACGTTACTACTGCTATTTCTACAGTAACTCCAGAGTTGCTGTAATTTTTGGTTGGAAACACGGTATTATACTCTAAAATGGTATACAGTCATTTACTGTGCACAAACACTGTAAATAACTGTGGATTTCACAGCCATTTTTTACAGTGCATTTGAAGTGTGGGCACGACCACTCTCACACATTGTTTGAAGAAAAAGCTGTGCCATCATGAATACAGTCATGTAATCTCTCTCAGTGTTTGTTATGAGTCAGATTAAAATGTTGATTTAGATCATGACTCTCAGAGGTGAAACACTGATATAATAGCTTATCAGAATATGAGGGGTCAGGCATTCCGGTTTTATCTGGTGATTTTGTCATTCTCTCAATTGGTGTCTCCTCTTGCCCTTTGAGGCTGAGTTACTGTGAAGAAACAAGAATGTGTCGCTACCTGCATGGCCATCAAATCCACATAATGATCCCTTTGTAAGATAATTATATCACCAATCTTCATCAAGAATCCTGTACAGTATACTCTCACCTTCGTAAGACGTAATCTGTCAATAACATCCGTTTTTTGGCAGTGTTTGTATTCCATAGTACAAATCAGCTTTTATAAAAGTATAATAATCAAACACAACAGACAAATAATTCAGATGTCTTTGTTTATTTTCTCTTCAAATCAAAATGATAGTTTTGTAACTGTTGCAAGTTAAATAGATCAGGCTAGACATTTGATGCCAGATTTTGGCATTTGACAGTTTCAATAAATTTAATTATGGTTTTACGTTTAATAACCAGCCCGTCAGACAGAAAGGTAAAAAGGCAGACAGATTGATTGAAAAAAATGTTTTAAATGATATAGTGTCAATATAATGCTTGAGGTTTTGGTAACTTGGAGAAATGTGAAAACCTTTGACTAGCTAAACTGCAAGGAATGTATGTCTGTCTGTCTGTCTGTCTGTCTGTCTGTCTGTCTGTCTGTCTGTCTGTCTGTCTGTCTGTCTGTCTGTCTGTCTGTCTGTCTGTCTGTCTGTCTGTCTGTCTGTCTGTCTGTCTGTCTGTCTGTCTGTCTGTCCTGTCTGTCTGTCTGTCTGTCTGTTCTGTTTGTCTGTCTGTCTGTCTGTCTGTCTGTCTGTCTGTCTGTCTGTCTGTCTGTCTGTCTGTCTGTCTGTCTGTCTGTCTGTCTGTCTGTCTGTCTGTCTGTCTGTCTGTCTGTCTGTCTGTCTGTCTGTCTGTCTGTCTGTCTGTCTGTCTGTCTAGTCTACATTGCCATATAACCTCATTGTCTATTGTATACTCCAGCATTGCAAGATGAGGAAACTATGTCAAGGCAGGTGTAATAACCTCTGTTACTCAATTCCTCAAAACATGGCTGCAGGCATTTTAGGTACACCCTGGCAATAATCATGAAGCATGTTGTAAAACACTAAAGTTGTGTAGATTGTTATCACATGCAACAACTGAGACTTTAACACTTGCTTACGGCTTACTGCTGCAGGCTGCTCTGGGACTGTGCCAGGATGTAACCAACGTTATCCCTATGTTAGGCCAGAGTTGTGAAGTAACGATAACAAACACCACATCATTAATGAGAAAATGGATGTCTTCCTCAAAACAACACTGAAGATAATTCCATTTTAAACCTTTTTTTGCTAAATTACTGTATGTTGTAAAAAAAAAGCACAATTCAAGCACATATTGGCTCTTCATCGGAACCCGATGAAGAGCCAATATGTGTCTGAGATATTTCTTAATATAATAAAGTTGAAACAAGTTTTTAAAGGAGAACCGTACAAGTATTAGACTCAAAACACGAAGAAAGTAAGGAAGTATGAAAAATGAAAATGTATATACAAACAAAAAATATTCAATTTCAATAAGTTATTTTTTTTAAATTGATGGTTGTACTCTTCTAGGAGAACATTGCCTTTAACTTTTGTATGAAAACTCCTATCTCCACAACCCTAATATAACTGTTAATGGTATCATATATTTTCTCTATTTTGCTGAAGCAAACAACATATTTTAATCATTTATAATAAATCTAAATTAAATATTATACACATTTACTGCAAAGCCTAAACAATGTCCTGTGAGGGAACAGTTCTGCAGGGTTATGATCAGATGGCAGTCTTGTGGCCCCTTCAGATTTTCCACAGAAGTTAAAATGGTAAAGAGGAACGGCTCATCAGTTTTCTTGATTTTTCCCCCAGTTGTCTTGCCTTCAAGCTCAGGACATCCCAGATGCTGTTAATGACCATCTGAAAATATTATAATATGCTTCCGAGGTCTGTAAGTTCCTAAAGCGCCTGTTAGTGTGAAAATGAAGCGACAGAGCTTGGCATGAGATTCGTACGTAGCAGTAGACTCATTGCATTGAATATTGATTAAGAAATGGATATTAACTTGTTTTCCTCGTTTAAATACAAGAGCCAAAATCCATGGCACTACCACGTCGCTCAATCAACAGAGTAAAACCATCAACATCTGTTTAGCTGATATCTGTTAACTATTCTGTTTCTTCAATCATGCCACTCTCAAAGATCGAGTGTCGATTACGGAACTCTTCAACACAAGTACACCTCAAAATGTCTGTCACTCTCCTGCAGTACACCTTATCCTGTGCCTTTTAAATTTCATGAATTTTATTTAAGATGTGCTTCTTTTTGACGTGTGTGTGTGCGTGCGTGCGTGCGTGTGTGCGCGCGATTGCATGTGTGTGTTTGTGCGTATGCGTGTTTGTGTGTGTGTGTGCGGTTCTGAACACAATGTTCCTTCTATTCACAGTTCCCTGCTGGCAAAGCCTGATGGTGTTCACCAATCTGAGACCCCCTCACGTACAACCCAGCTTCAATTTGGAATGAAAAAAAAACATGATTTTAATTATTCAAATTAGCCAATTATATTAGCACACAATTTCAATACAAGCTAAAGCAGTTGGAGTGATATTATCTAGTCTGATAAACTACCATTATTAATATGTTCACATAATTAAAGAGTAATAAAATCCAATAAGTGTATCCTTATTTTCTTCCTTTATAAAAGTATGAATTATTAAACCATGAAACCTAATGCAAATATTTACAGCACAGATTAAATGGCATGTAGGCTACATGTACCTAAACTAAGATACAGAGGAATGTAACAGAACATAATGAGGCAAAGACCACATCCACAGACGCACACGGTGTATTTGTACATTCTGTCTCACATCCGTGCTCTGCTGCTGATTCATTTGTGAACATGTGAGCACACACTGTTCATAACAGAGCCAAACACACACATCCTGAGGCACAGCACTGTCTGGCCTGGGAAATTATGTTTTATCCTGACGAAGACATCACAGGGAGACTTATAAGGAAGAAAAGTATACAAGAAAAAACTGCTTTTATGGACTTTTAGGGCAAATGCTGTTACTGTGTTATATATACTTGTAATTGAAAAAGACACTTTAAGCCTTTGAATTGTGCTGTTCTTCAAAGGCAAAGGTTAAGAACCGGCCACCCTTTGGTAAATTATTTGTATCTGTCACTGTTCTTGGAAATGAAGTTGTTTAAATATTGATTGAACATGTCCCCCAGGCAGTATGATTATTCTCTGATACTTTGCCTTAACCTGTGTCCATGTCAGCAGGCCAGATCTGCTTCCAACTCAACACATCATCTAAATCTAATTAATTATATGATGAGACCGAGGTTACCATTATGTCCCTGCAATGAACACCTTGGTCTAAACTAAATATGAATCACACAAAGAATACACAAGAGTTAATGTTACCTTTTCTCAGAGAAAGTGTCACAACCTGTACTTTTATGAAGATACACCTAAGCCTTAAGGGATTCTGGATGTACACTGGTGTCCTCATCCGCCTCCGTTGGGAACCACAGCCAAGTGGCACATTCACACACATACACACACGCACACACTCACCTATTAACACACATAGGCTCTTATCAGCCATTATGTTCCATAGCAC